CATGCTCAGAAAAATATGGAGATTATTGTAACCTTTATTTTAGCCTTTTTTTTCTGCGGTGGTTCAGCGGGGGACTGCGTCAGCGGCTTCACCCGGAGGCGCTCCAGGCGGCAGGGACACAGAAGCAAACCCCCGCCTACTCATTGTCCAGCGGTTTATAGTACAGTGCGGCGCATATTATTACAAAATTGATTTTTCTTCATAAATCTGAGCATGCGGCTCTTAATCAGGTGCGGTCTGTAGCCCGGAATTTTCGGTAATTGAAAAGTCCCTTTTCTATTGTTTCAAAATAGGTAAAGTTTACAAAAAAAATTACTTTATACAACACATGTTAAAATGCTATTTAATCTCAAAGTGCGTCACCAAATTGCGAAATCATCAATCCTAAAAATGAGATTGCAATTAATTCTTTTTCCAATAATTTTTAGTTTCGGTCAGTGGAGATTTGAACAATCATCTGCTCGCATTTAAGAAAACCTCAAGAATGAATGAATGACTGCCAAGATTCCTCTTCTTGTCATTGGTTTGTCAGGCAATTTGACACGGAAGACGAAAGTGTCTTTTTCTGTGTCCACTGTATGCCGAGCGCTCTGTCCACTGATAGAGCTTCAGAGCTGAGATCCGTGTTTTTCCTTTGACCTCTGTGTTTTTCGGGTCTTGACTGAAGTCCTTTTCTGTTATGACTTGTCCAGTTAGTCAATGTAAATCCTCCTTTAGCACACAAGATGCGAAGGTCTTTAATCAGTGTCACAGCTTCGTCTTCGGTAGCAACACTTTTCAGGCAGTCGTCGACATAAAAATTGGACAGGACTGTCCGCACAGCTTCTGGTGGCGTGGTGATTTGGTTATCTTGAGCAGTACTTTTCAGTGCATACAATGCAATGCTCAGTGAGGAGGTTGCACCAAAGAGGTGTACCGTCATTCTGAACTCTTCCAAGGGTTCGTTCAACTTGCCGCCAGGCCACCAAAGAAATCGCTGGAGGTCTGCGGCGTGTTCTTCACCTGATAAAACATTGATTCAATATCGGCCATCATCGCGACTGGCTCCTCACGAAATCTTAAAAGGACACTAATGAGGGTTGTCGGGTCCTTGTAGCAGTCAACTATTCAGAGACTGGTCTTGAAGAGATGTGGCACAATCAAAGACCACTCGCATTTTTCTTTTCTTAGGGTGATACACCCCATGGTGCGGTATGTATGATAATCTGCCATCGTCTCTGTTCAGCTGATCATTTGGGGCCCGAATGGCATATCCCTTTTGAATGACAGTATCCATGAAAGCCTTGTAGTCTTCATCCTCATGCAGTACCTATCCCAAATTGGGTCATTTTTGGACAGTTGGACAATTGTACACACAGCCAAAAGAGTGAAAAATAACTCCACGAAGCTGGAATTTTGCATAGGATGTCAAAAGGGCTCAAAGTTCAAAATGACAGCAAGCTGGACATTTTTGAACATTACAGTTGGTATATATGACATCGTGACATATTTGGCCTACAAGGGCAGTAAAAATCCCAAAAAGGACACATTGACGCCCATTATAAATTCCAATTTTCAATAGACTGTAAAACTGATGTTTCATCATGCATTTTTCCAAATCTCTGCACAAATCACATCACCGGCGGCTCACTAATACGATCAAAGCTTGAGAATTGAAATACGAGAGTTTTACCTCACTTTCCACGAGATGGCGCTAGAGCGTAAGATATAATTCTCGTGCCGACTCTTTACGTCATTGAGGAAACATCCAGTTCGTCATTTTCATTCGAATAAACGGTCTAGTTTGTGGGGCGAGGTCTATTTGCATCTGTGTGTATGGACATGATCGTACGGGCACGTCACATCTAACAGTAATGAGCAAAGACATCAAAGTAGTACTTTTCCGCCATTTTGTGCACATTGGATTGTAAGGTCGTACGCGTCTCTTGCGGAGACGTCAGCCAGACAGACTCAACTTCCTGGTGTCACCTCTAAAGATGTCCCACCCGCGTATGTTGCGCATAAATTACATTGTTTTGCACGTTCACGCTCGCGCGCACGTGCAAAACAATGTAATGCAGTTTGCAGAGCATTGCTCGCTGGGTGCTTTTTGGAAAATCAGGTGTTATTTTTTGAAAATCGACTTTTGAATTGGTCAAGCTGTTATGCAATGCATGCCCCGGCCGTGTGGTCTCGGAATGAACGTGACGCGCGGGTACGCGCGTTCGCGTGAACGCGCTGAGCACAGGCCAAACAGCCACGTTTTAGGAGTGTACTTACGGCCATTTGAAATGATGGGCTTGTCAGCCTTTTTTCTCGTCTGCACGCCAGTCGATCGCGCATGCACAATGTGCATTTGTGCACAGGCATGCCCAGTGCCCTGGGCGTGTGTTGCACGAGCATTGCTGTTTGAGGTTGCAGCACGCACTAACGAATACAATGCATTGCAACGATAGTTACTGGCTGGACGTTGTTTTGAAAATCAAGTTTTTTTTTTCTGAAAATCGAGTTTTACGTTGGGCGAAAGATCATCAACTATATGTCGGAGAACTACGGGAACTTTATGCACGTAAACGCACGAAAAGTATGCCAATCATGTGCATGCGAGAAAGAGAAAGTATATAGCTTTTGCGAAAAACCACTTCGTGCTTCGAATTATTGTGG